TGAGGTGGCCTCCCCCGTGAAGGGGAGATCAGTACTTTGAAGCATTTGAAAAGTACAATGACAACTATACGGGATATAATCCACGTTTCAAGCACAAGACCCTCAACATAGGGTGATACTATATTATGGGCATAACCTATAGCTACCCCATTTCAAACCACTTGTATATTATATATATATATATATATATATATATATATATATATATATATATATATATATATAATTAAAATAGCCGGCCCGTAGGCCCATTTGTATTTCAAAACAATTCCTTTAACATAGCCCTCGGCCTACACTTGCATATAGCAACTACGAGAGGTTACATCACCCCTAGTTTATACCCAATTCCATCGAAAGGGTTACACATTTTATTCTTTGTACTCATCCATATTGGACCTACAAACCCAACGGTTGTATTCCTTCTTTTTGGGCTTACACACCCAATATAATATCTTTGATTCATTTAGGGCTTACACACCTCGTATACGCCTCATTCGTTTAGGGCTTACACACCCCGTATAATCTTTATTCATGTAGGGCTTACACACCCCGCGTAATGTCTTTTATTCGTTAGGACTTACACACCCCGTATAATCTTTATTCATGTAGGGCTTACACACTCCGCGTAATATCTTTCATTCGTTAGGGCTTACACACCCCATATAATCTTTATTCACGTAGGGCTTACACACCCTGCGTAATATCTTTCATTCGTTAGGGCTTACACACCCTGTATAATCTTTATTCATGTAGGGCTTACACACCCTGCGTAATATCTTTCATTCGTTAGGGCTTACACACCCCGTATAATCTTTATTCATGTAGGGCTTACACACCCCGCGTAATATCTTTTATTCTTGTAGGGTTTACACACCCCGTATAATCTTTATTCGACTAGGCCTTACACACCCCGAATATAATCTTAATTTGCCTAGGGCTTACACACCCCGAATATCACATAGCTTATATATCTTTGCTTAGCCGTGGCTTCAACCTTGACAACACTTGTTGTATTTGAACAATCATAATCTATCAACCTCGGGCTAGTCTTCATCAAGACTCCCCGGGCTGCCATTATATAGTTCTAGGTAGACATCACCTTTCCCTTTGAGCATGACCGTAGTCCATCGCTCCTTCTAAGACCATGTCTATTTTATTCAATATCCTAGATATGACACAATTTATCCCTAAGGACTCATATCAATTTAGTCATGGAAATGACTCAAGGATTCTTTACTTCACATTTAATCACTTGGTCTATCAACATAGATATCCATATATTCCTTCTCAATTCATATGGAAATCACACATTTATCAACATTTGTTTACATCACTATAATCCTTCAATATCAATTCAATAATTAATGTATTTCAAGGATTCAAGGATTTCTTTCCTTATGCATAGTTTCTTTGCTTATTCATCTTTCTATAATCATTTCTCAATTACCATGACCACATAGCAATCACACCTTTTTTCACATTCAACTATATCATTTAATATCATCAAAATCATATTTTGATTACTTAGGTAATCTCATGCTCAACTCACGAATTACAAACAATATATTCAGCCATCCTCACCTTAAATATGTCCAGCAAGCCTTCTTATTGAAGCCCCATTGTTAAACCTTCGATCGGGAATGATCCAAAATGGACTTGGCTGGCAGAGGGAAAAAGCTGACCGGCTTTTGCAAAAGCTGCCCGGCTTTCAGGCCCTTGAGCACGAAAACAGCTCCTAGCAATGGCGGTTTCCGGCGATTTTGATTCCTATCGATTCCACAACTCTTCTAAGTTAAATACCAACACTTTATATCATTTTTCTGCACATTTAAATGTGTATAACCTCCCCTAGAATCCATCATATGATTTCTATAAAATCATATACGAAAAATATATTAATTAACTAGTTTAATCGGGAATATCATTCGGTTACCTAGAAACGAGCCTTCTTCTTCCCGGAATCCCTTTCCTTGTTTCTTCCTTGCTCAAAGAACATGTGAAGCTCTTTGTGAGCTCTCTAAGTGTCGTAGGACACTTCTCAAAATGAGAGGTGTGTAGCCTACCCCTTATCCTTTCTATAATTAGAAAGTTTGGGCTAAAATGGGTTGAGTTGGGTTCGTGGGCTGCCTTCTTAATTTAATCCGACCCAAATGACTTTTATTCATTTATTTATATTATTTTAGGCTAGTTGACCTCAATAGGTCGATCGTAAAATGTATTGGATAGTCCCCTCCAATATTCTGGGCTCCAACCCTTTTACCTTTCTATTATTAGTAAATGGCTCGAATAGTCTCTCGTATTAATACTTTACCTTTTATTCGGCCCATACATTCGTATATAACGTATTTCCTTATCCTTGGGCTTTTAATTACTTTAACGTGGTCCAAGAATTTATTAGTTAGTCCCTCCCCATTTTTAGGGTCCGACACACAATATAATAATCGGTATTAATTTAATCAATTAATCATTTCTCATATGATTAATATTTTTGTAACTAGTTTTCAAAATGAATAAATATTCACGAACTCAACTAGTCATCCTCATCGACATTGGTATTTGTACTTTCTATTAAATTTTAATATTAATGGATTAATTAATCCCAGTTCGAATTGGGAGCGGTGTCACAAGTTCACACCCCTTAACAAAAATTTCGTCCCTGAAATTCACGTCGTCATTTCACTTTAACCGGTGTAACTCTATCCTTAGAGTACACACTTTTCCAAGTCTCTACATTGACTTAACTAGTTGGGTTAAGTTCTTTGGCATGTGAATCCGACAATTCTCACCCAAGGTGAATCATTATTAACAATTGTCATTAATCTTTAACTTGAAGGTTCCCCACTACCTTATGCCATATCCTGTTTTAAAACATACTTACTTACATACAATTATGTAGTCGGCCCGTGGGCCCCTTTCTATATTCCATCTCATTCGTCGTTTGCACGACCTACCCGTAGGTCTTATTATTTCTACGAGACTTGTTACAGCTATCCGAGGCCTCGTAAGGTCCCCGGGCCAGATTTCAACATCCCGCCCTTGGGCTCATACCCATCATCCCGTAGGAAGATAATGCCTTTCGGGGTCGTATCTTATGTTTCTATTATTAAAAAAACGGTAATTTGATAATACTTCCTTTATTGTCAAATAATTGCAACATGTTATATGTTACACTATTCACATCTATTATTTTGAGTCACTTTGATTATTAATGTGTTAATAATTTTTTTTAAAAATATTATTAAATTTATCTCTGTTGGGTTAATAGCTCGATACGGGCTGACCCATCAATCCTTAAGGATCTCCTACGAACATCCCCAGAAGGTCCATAAGGATCACCTATGAACATCCTACTAAAGGCACAAGAAGAAGGTCAAGTACCAAGGGTCAGGAGACGTACGTACCCCACTACCAGTCGGTACCAAGGCCCAAGGGCTAGGGGACGTACGTACTCCATCACCAGCCAGTACCAAGGCCCAAGGGCCAGGAGACGTGCGTGTTCCACTGTCACCAGGCATCTAGGCCCAGGGTCCCTACGAGGTACACGGGGACGAACGTCCCCACCCCGCGATAGGGTACCAAGGGCGGCTCAAGAATAGATCAAGGATAGCTCAAGTGCATGGGGACGAACGTCCCCTTTCCCATTGACATGAGATCAGGATTCCAACAGGAGATAGGAGTCAAGCCCTTGGGGACGAATGTCCCCACCCAAGGGCGGGAAACCAAGAAATTGCATACATAATACTAAAATTCACAAATACACAAATAGTGCAACACAACAAAGAAAAAGTATAGCAAAACGATGACGCACGAGATAAATATCATTTTTAATTTACTAAGTTTATGTGAAAATATAAAAACTAATATCATCAAAATGTTGAATATAATAAAAAACTTCAACATTCTTCTTCTTCGTTCTAGGTTAAATATTACTCCGTAGTTCTAATTTAATTTATAGTTAAACCTTGAGAGCTAAGATTTAAACCATATTAATTAAGTTGTAAAAAATGCAATACAACAAAAAGTTATGTACACTACATTACTAGAAATAAATCATCATTAATGATTTCTAAAATTTTAATATTCTTTGAATACATACCAAAATATAACATAAATTATCTAAAAAGAAAAACAAACAATACATATATATATATATATATATATATATATATATATATATATATATATATATATATATATATATATATATATATATATATATATATATATATATATATATATATATATATATATATATATATATATATATATATATATATATATATATATATATATATATATATATAGGGGATGGTTCAAATACAAAGACCTCTTCCCATGCAAAGTGAGAATGAATCTTGTGCATTCATTTTCACATCTAATGGCTCAAAATGAGCCAAAAATGCACAAAATTCGACCAAAATCGCGGTGGCAATTTCGTAAATATGTTGCACTTTTTCGTTACCCGCGAAAAAGTGCAATAGAAACACGCAAAAGTGAAAGCGAAACATGCAAAAGTGCATATCTTCGCACTTTACACGGGAAGAGGTCTTTTTATTTGAACTCTTCCCAATATATATATATATATATATATATATATATATATATATATATATATATATATATATATATATATATATATAACACATTTTAGATATCTTAGGAACACATGGATACATACTTGGGGTATAAAATTGTTGGTCTAGAACTATTTGCGAACGGTTCGGTCCAGTATTTTTCGGTTCCCAAAATCTAGGACCGGTCCCGTACCCGTTTCAAACGGTACAGTTTCGGTACGGGATAAAAATCTATAGAACCGTTTAAATTAAATACCCGGTATTCGGTTCGGTACCATTACGGGATGGGTTGGTACCGGTTCGGTTTGGGTGTTATGCCCACCCCTACTTCTCACCTGATCTTATATATATATATATATATATATATATATATATATATATATATATATATATATATATATATATATAGAGAGAGAGAGAGAGAGAGAGAGAGAGAGAGAGAGAGAGAGAGAGAGAGAGAGAGAAATATTCATGTCAGGCCTTCCTTTCTGGAAATGCGTCTGGCTGACGGCATTTAGGCCCTTCCCGGTGGACTTTGTTGATGAAATTTTTATGACATGTTCTCCATCAAGTCTAGTTATTCCATACCAAATTTGAGAAACACATTCAATCTGGAAGGTCGTCAAATGATTTTTGAAACATTACTGCTTTTTATATGTATATTCCGGCGCAGTTATCTTCAAAAAATCATTTGACGACCTTCCCGATTGAATGGTTTTCTCAAATTTGGTATGGATGAATTAGACTTGATGAAGAACATGCTATAAAAATTTCATCAAAAGTTGCCCCCGGGAAGGGCCCCAAACGCCATCGGCCGGACGGAGATTCCGGTCAGGAAGGTCTAACCGGAAGATTTTTCTCTCTCTATATATATAAAAGTAAGTTTTATATATTCCGAATTTGAAGTTGTTAACACCAGGCATTGTAGGTCTCTTTGTATTTCATTCGGTTTGTGTTTTATGTGGATAGAAAGTGATCTTTTTAATTGACATCCGGCAAAATCTGGCTTCAATTGAAAGAAGAGCATTGGAGATGCTCTTAGATTGCAACCAATCTTGGGAGTTGTGTATGTGGATTGGATCGGTTCCCAATCTGATAGGAAACATTGAATTAGAATCTTAATTAGGCTAAGATAATGAAACCTGGCAGGATATAACCAATTAAGACAATCAAAACTACCACAACAAATTGTCCTAAATGAGAGTAAAAACGTTTTGGAATTTCAAAATAGGGTAGCTATTGTGAGAATAATGGAATGGCTTACCCAATTGGGAGCCCTAGATGTCAAATATATAATGAATAGAGTTCTGAGTACATTAGGAAACATAAGAAATATGGAAACCTAATTAATGAATATTAATTACTCTATTACACCCCCTCAAGCTGTGCAGGGGACACAATGCGCAGATTGTCTCTGAGAAAAATGAAGCGTTGCGGAGATAAACTTTTGGTAAAAATGTCTGCAAGCTGGAACTGTGTGGGAACATACCGAACAACCAGGTCTCCATGTGAAACTCTCTCACGAACAAAGTGATAATCAATGCTGATGTGTTTGCTCCGAGCATGCTGAATAGGATTTGTGGATAAATAAGAGGCTGAAATATTATCACACAATAACCGAACAGGCTGACAAATAGGTACGCCTAATTCAAACAATATAGACCGGATGTGGAGAATGTCTTGAACTGTGTAAGCAATAGCCCTGTATTCTGCTTCTGTGGAAGAACGAGAGACTGTTGGTTGCTTCTTGGATTTCCATGAAATTAAATTAGGGCCTAGAAAAATAGCAAAGCCTGAAGTGGATCTACTACTGTCAGGACAACCAGCCCAGTCTGCATCTGAATACGCTTGTAAAATAGGAGAAGAAGTGCTCGGCTGCAGGAGCAAACCATGGTCCGGAGTTCCCTGAAGATACCTGAAAATACGCTTAACAGCCAAAATATGTGAAGTACGAGGTGCCTGCATAAACTGAGAAACCAGGTGAACAGCAAATGTAATATCTGGTCTAGTCATGGTCAAATACTGCAAAGCACCTACCATACTTCGATACTCCGTAGGATCTGCGAGAAGATCACCATCAGTGAGAGATAACTTAGTTCGAGTAGGTAGCGGAGTACGAACAGGTTTAAGGGTGTGAAGATGAAACCGGGTTAATAGATCAGACACATATTTTTGTTGAGACAGGAACAAACCTGAGGAGGTTCGAACAGCTTGGACACCTAGGAAAAAAATGTAAATCCCCCAAATCCTTCATGGCCAAACAACGACCAAGACAAGAGATAAATGTGGAAATAAAGGAAGGGGAATTACCAGTTATAATAATGTCATCCACATACAAGAGGAGATAGAGAATATGAGACCCATGGCGATAAATGAATAAAGAATTATCTGACTTGCTACAAACAAAACCATGGGTTAACAAAAAACTGCTAAACCTGTAAAACCAGGCTCTTGGAGCCTGCTTAAGTCCATAGATTGCCTTCCGGAGCCTACAAATATGATTAGGAAATTGTGGATGTACAAACCCAGGAGGCTGGCGCATATAAACCTCTTCAGTTAGATTGCCATGAAGAAATGCATTTTTGACATCTAACTGACGAATATTCCATCGGCAAGAGATAGCAAGAGATAAAACAATACGAACAGTGGTGGGTTTGACAACAGGACTAAAGGTTTCAGAAAAATCCACACCAGCTTGTTGAGTAAATCCCTGTGCAACCAAGCGTGCTTTATAACGCTCAACAGACCCATCAGACTTAAATTTTGTTTTATAAATCCATTTAGACCCGATCACATTTTTACTAGCATTAAATGGAACTAGATCCCAAGTATGATTGTCAATTAAAGCATTAAACTCTTCTGCCATAGCCGCCCTCCATTTAGCATCTTTATTTGCCATAGAAAAACAAGAAGGATCACATGCCGAAACATCTGTTTTGAGATTAAAAATATGTTTGGGTTTAAAAATTCCCGATTTAGCACGAGTTTGCACAGGATGACAATTTGGCAGAGAAGGTGCAGGAGAAGAACGACTTGGGCTTGGGCTAGGCTCATGCGGACTGGTCGGATGAGTGGAGGGGGATGATGTGGGAGAGGAATTTGGTGTGTTGGTTAGAACAGGGCTGTCGATGGTCGTAGGGGTGGTGGGAGTGTGTGGTGAGGTGCGGTTGGGAGCATCCGGCTGAAACAAGGTAGGCTGCGTGCATAGGTTGGACTGCCGCAAGGTTACAGGGGAGGATGAGATGCTGGTGGCTGGTGGGTTGGGAGCACAGTGCTCATGCATGGTGACGGTATTGATGTCGGACACGTCAGTGGTGGCTGTGGAAGAAGTTAAAGTAGAATATGGAAAATAATTTTCAAAAAATCGCACATTCCGATTAATGTAAATCTTGTTAGTGAGAGGATTGAGACAACGATAACCTTTATATTCAGGGGCATATCCTAAGAAGACACATAAGGTGGATCTGGGAGAAAGTTTGTTGGCAGAAGTGGCATTAAAATTAGGAAAGCACGCACACCCAAAAACACGCATAAAAGAGAAGTCAGGAGTATGGTGAAATAATTTTTCAAAAGGAGAAATGCCATTTAAATTTGGAGTAGGAAGCCTGTTAATAATAAATGTGGCGGTGAACACAGCATCTACCCAAAACGTAGATGGCATGTTTGCTTCAAAAAGCATAGTGCGAGTTAATTCAAGGAGATGTCTGTGTTTGCGCTCAGAAACACCATTCTGCTCAGGGGTATCTGGACATGACTTGCGAAATAAAATACCATTTTGTGTAAAAATATCACGCATGCCATGATTATCAAATTCACCCCCTCCATCACTTTGAAAAATTTTAATTTTTGAGTCAAGTAAATTTTCCACCATTAACTTAAAGTGCCGAAAATGTGTTATGACTTCACTTTTATGACGCATGGGATAGAGCCAAGTAAATCGTGAAAAATCATCAATAAATAAGAAATAATATTTATAGCCACTTGTAGAGAGAACAGGAGATTGCCAAACATCAGAATGAATTAAAAATAAAGGAGCAGGAGATTTATGCCACACTTCTTGAAAAGGTAATCGTTGAGACTTTCCTAAACGACAAGAAATACAATCATGAGAAAAACTAGAAAAACTAGAAATAGTGCCAGATTTTTTTAATTGTTCTAAAATACGACTTCCACAGTGTCCCAAGCGACGATGCCAGACTGGACCAGAAGCAACATGAGAGACTAGAGCCACTGGCGAGGAATGAGTGAGAGAAATAGGGTAAACGCCACCATTACTGGAAGCTTGGAGGAGCACCTTCCCTGAAATTGTGTCCTTAATACAGATAGAATTTTTATCAAAAATCACAAAACAGTTATTATCGACACATAATCGTTGAATAGACAAAAGATTGTATTTAAGATTAGGCACATGATAAACAGATTTTAAGTGTAGGGGTCGAGGCAGAGTAGATAAATGCAATTCACCAACAGTCATAACAGGAAGATTAGAGCCATTAGCAACTGTAATTTTTAGTGGTCCAGAATAAATAGATTTATTTTGCAAAATACCTTCATTTGAGGTCATGTGAGCAGAAGCACCCGAGTCAGGATACCAGACAGCTGGAGTGGATTCACCTGTAGAGACAGCCAAGGCAGGGGCCTGAGCCTGAACAAAACGAGAGGGACATGCAACAGATGAATGACCTGGAGAATGACATATCTGACACACAACAGGTGGAGGGACTGAACCAAAATTATTCTCAAAAGATGGAGATCCTGCAGAGGCATAGTTAGTAGAAGAAGTATAGAGAGCCGGAGTATAAAACGATGACTGAACTGAATTACAAATAACTGTACCCGGTCCCCACTGATGAAGCTGATTGGTTCCCCGACCGGACTGTGGCTGCTAGAGTTGCGGCTGGCCTGGATTGCCGTACGTAGGAGGCTGTCCATACGTATAGGCCTGCTGATTTCGACCTCTGCCGCGCCCTCGTCCGCGACCGCCACGACGTCCGCCACGCCCTCCGCGTCCTTGGTTCTGCTGCGGGTTGCCAGAAGGAGAAGAGGAAGCCGCACCTCCTCCTGCGGAATTGGACGCAGCAAACGCAGGTGTAGTAACTGAATTCTCCAAGGATCGTTGATAGCGAAGACGTGCATCTTGATGAACCAGCTTTGTGCTTAAGGAGTCAAACGTGAGGCCTTCTAGAAATAAGGTAAGGGGGCCCACTAGTGACTCATAACCCAGTCCCAATCCTATAAGGGTTTGTTCAATAAGATCGGCATTAGAGACCGGAGAGTTAATTGCGGCTAAATTCTCAGCAATATTTTGAATCCCACGAATGTAGTCCTCCATGGTCTGATTGTCCTTCTTCCGAGTGCGTGTAAGCATTTGTTTTAATTCCATGGAGCGTGCAAGACTGGCTGCCATAAATCGGGACTCCAAACGTTGCCAGATGGCAAAGGAATTTTTCAAGGAATGTACCTCCATCAAGATATCACGAGAGAGAGTTGCAAAGATCCATGCACGTACCGCTTGATCTAACTTGAGCCAATGATAATACTCAGGATTCGGGGACTGAGCCTGATATAAATCATACGTATACATTGGCGGGGCAGATAGAGATCCATCCAGGAAGCCTAAAAGACCATTAGCTACCACGAAGGATTCAAACTGAGTGCGCCATGGCAAATAATCTTCAACAGCCACCAATTTAGAAGTAACAATTTGTGTAATCGAGGCCCCAAACGTCATGCCTTGAGCGAGCGAGGCAAAAGACGAGGGCATAGGAGTGGACTGTTGCCCAAGAATTCCGGTCGAAGGCAGGTGCAACCCCGGACTGCCCGCCAGGGTGGGTCCTGCGAACCGAGGGCCGCCAGAGCTGCTGGAGACGTCCGGTTGCTGCGAGCGTTGTGGCTGGATTATCGGATTGAAGGTTGGCGCTGACGGAGTCCAGGTGAAATCGGGGGGGACCCACGGCGCTGCCGGAACCGTAGAGGGAAAGACCGAGTAGGGCTGTGAGCGAAGCGGTTCACCTGTGGAGGAGAGAGCCGCCGTCTGCGAATGGCCAGAGAAATTCGATGTGTCTGTCGCGCTCAACACAGGTGCAGTTATGGCCGGCGGCGAATCAATGGCAGCGGTGACTGCCTGGGATGCGGCGGCTGCGGTGGAGCTTTCGGATGCCATGGAACCGAAAAAAAAAATTTTAATTTTGGCTAAAACCTAGAGCTCTTGATACCATGTGAGAATAATGGAATGGCTTACCCAATTGGGAGCCCTAGATGTCAAATATATAATGAATAGAGTTCTGAGTACATTAGGAAACATAAGAAATATGGAAACCTAATTAATGAATATTAATTACTCTATTAGCTATATTTATCTTCCTCAAACATGAGTCGTTTTTATCATGATTGAAAAATACTTTCATTAATGGCGGTAAATACTATCGTGTTAATGCTCAATAGTATTGCAACTATTTTGACAATAATGACTCCAATATGACATTAAATACTTCCATATAACCTCTATTTCAGGAAGAAAAACAAAACAATCATATTTTGGAATTTCTAATCATTTTCCTCCTATTTCAAGAATTTTCCCTCGTACAATTCGGTTCCATTTTCAAAAGATTAATATGGAAACTAGTTTCGATCAAATTTGGTATCAGTTCCAAAACCCAGAAACCAGTATTGTAATACTTATATCCCACATTTGATATGGTGCTACTGTGATTGAGGAGATGGTGCTACTGTGATTGAGGAGATGGTGCTACTCTTCAAAATTTTGAATTTATGTGATTGGTAATGAATTGATAAAACAAGAAGTAAGCTAGGAATGATTTAAAAAGATGTAAATATTACCAAATTTGATATGAAATACTCCCTAATTTTTATGAGATGACAAAAAAGAAAACATGAGACAATATCATAACTTGAGAGGGAATACTAAATAATGACCAACTCGGGGAGGTTATTGTGACTCACTTGGTGAACACCCACTCCCAACTCTCCTTAATAAGAGGTCTTAAGTTCATTTCCCACCTATAGGAGATGAGGTAGGTCTTGCTACTTAACTTCGCGGAGTGGCTCAGTGGCCGAGGATGGGGAGAATGATAATGTTGGCACTGAGTTCGCATAGTTGGAGTTTTACTTTTAATACAATGATTTTCAATATTAATTGAGTATCATTTATATTTAAGTTGGGCATCATTTTTAGACAAATATGACTATCATCCACTCAGAATTAGAAAAATCTATGCTTTTAACAGAACTAAATAATTTCTATTTCAAAAACATAACAAAATTACTCTTATGTTTTCATACTACGTATTTTACTTCTATTTTGTGTAGTTACTTATTTTTTATTACATTACAATAATTTTGGTGCGATGAAAGAATCGTGCAGACCATCAATGATGTACTTTTCGGAGTCATTGCATGTGGGCTATCAAGGTACCTTGCCATCCGATCCTCGAAAGGTAAATACAATTATAATCCGTCTTTGTGTACGTTCTGAGTTACACCTCTTTATTTGTCATTCGCACATATAAAAAAGTACGAATACAAACACTTTTGATATATTGTCAGAGTGAAGAAAATTTGATTTGTTGATTGATGTACCTTTTTTTGCAGATCTGTTAGGTTGGTTGCACGGAAACAAATGTCTGTGTATACACACATTAGTTGTTAGTTGTTAGTTGTCTTTATAGACAAAAAAGTGTTTGCACATATACAATTTTTTTCTGTGTACACAGACATTTGTTTCGGAGCTATCTAACCCTGGCTTTTTTCTGTGTACGTAGACACTGAAACAAAACCAGTGTTGGTATACATTCATTTTTTGTCTATGACAAAAATTTATAGAATGTTAATAGTTTTTTAGTTTCATCTTTCATTATAGACAATACTTATCGTTATTCATTAGCATGATACATACAATACTAATATACCATACAAACAAAAATTCCGCCAACTCTAATTTTCGGTGAATTTCCGGTCATTCTCAAACAACAATTTTATTTCGTGAAGATGATGATGGTGAATAAAACATAAAAAGATAGAAAAAGAGAGAAGGAAAAAAAAAGATGATGAGGAAGGAAGGAAGGAAGAGAGGAAAGGGTGGTGTGCTTATGATTCAAGATGGGAGGAGGGAAAGAGAGAAAAGTGGGGAGAGAGGGAAGTAAAAAATGGGGCGGGGGTTAAATAGGATGTACCGCTGGTGTACCTTAAGCAAGTTATAGTTTTTTTTTTCATGAAATTACCGATAAATTGCATTGTAGCCAGGCTATAATTAAATACTAGATTAGACTAGATCTGTATAATGAATACTAGCATAGGAACTTTTGAAATATATAGTCCGTTTGGTAATACGAAATCGGCTGATTTGTTTGATTCTGTTGAAATTTATGAAATTCTGTCTGAAGTGGCTGCATTGGCTGATTCTGCTGATTTAAGAAAAAATTATTTTGAAAATATATTATAGTAATAAAATAAAGAAAAAATTATATGTAAAAATAGTTAAAATGATTATCTACAAGAACTTCAGGCAATACAACCAGAAAAGTAACTCAACCCTTACATTTTCTTATTATTACACAATTCAGCGCGCGAAAACAAAGTTACGTGTTTGGTGAAAAAGTTGGCTGATAAGCCTGATAAGCCGAAAAACAGTGTTATCAAACGGGCTCATAGAGTGGACCGGGGCTTGGCATGGCTCCCTATCTCCACTCCTGGTCCCTGCTAAGAAATCACATATAGACAAAAAAATATTTTATAGATACTACTAACTCCGTCTCAATTTGATTATCCTATTTCTTACTAACTTCATCAACACAAATCACTCCTAATTTCTTACGTTGTATATCAAACTCTTATTAAATTTGATTTTTCTTTTTGCATCTCTTATTAAAAAAATATTTTATAGATACTACTAATTTCTTTTTGCGACTTTGTAAAATTTTTAATGTAATTTCTGAATATGTAATTTATATTTACTAAAAATAAATTGAGTGCAAACACGAATTTATTTGTTTTATCATCAATCAAACATCGTAAATCACAATCAGACCATCAAATTAGGACGAGACCGCCATATATTGTTTTTTTTTGTTATACTATTGCGTACAACTAAAACAAAATAGTTTCCATTTTTTTTTCTGAGTTATGTTCGTAAATAACGTAATAACGTTCACACAAGGAAAACCACATTCCCTAAACGACAATTGCATTTGTTGTAGAATTGAAGGATGGCCTCCAGATCACTGGTCTTGCAATGGTAAATTTACGACCACAACCCGGACTTCAGGTATATAGTTTTACTAGCTAGCTAGCCTTGTGATAGTTTATTTCTATATACACTATTCCAATAAATACATACACACAATGCAATTTATACCCTTCAACCGGCGCACCATGAGGATGGTGCGCCCGGTTGCAAAACGACGCAGCTTCAGTGAGATTTCATTATTTTTTATTTCTTTTATTGTTAAAAATTGTAATAACTTTTTTATTTGATATCCGATTTTTATAAATTTTATATCAATTTTTTTTTATTTTTCATGATCTATCAAATGAGACCAATATTGCTTATGTAATTTTAACAAATTATTTTGAAGTTACATTTGATAATATATCATGAAGTTACATCTTCTTCTGTGCGAGTTACATCTTAATATACGTGAGTTACATCTTAATGTATGTGAGTTACATCACGAAATAACCCTGCTACATCTTTCATTTTTATCATTTGAAAAATAGTGTATGAATATGAAATACAATATACTTATTTTATGTGGATTAATAAAATTTTGTATTAAATTGGCAAAGAAAAAAATTAATTCAGTTATAATTGAATTAGTTCAAGATAAAGATAAGTAAAAAATCACAAATAATTAGATATAACTCACACATAATTACATGTAACTCGCGCATAAAAGTATGTAACTCATGTATAACAAGATGTAACTCACACATAACAAGATGTAACTCATACATAATTACATGTAACTTGCGCATAAAAGTATGTAACTCGTGTATAACAAGATGTAACTCGTGTATAACAAGATGTAACTCACACATAATAACTTCGTATAGGATGATGTAACTTCGTATATTATCAAATGTAACTCCAAGCTAGAAGCAAAATAAACAAACTCAATATCTTAAAAACATCTAAAAACATATAAAAGTGATAAGAAAATATATTATAGAAAAAGTGTATGCATATAAAAATATATTACAAAAAAATGTATGAATGTAAAAAATTAAAATTACATAGGCAATATTGGTCTCATTTGAAAGATCATGAAAAATAAAAAATTTTGATATAAATTTTTTAAAAATCGGATCAAAAATAAAAAAATTATTAACAATTTCAAGAAAAAGGAGAAATAAAAAATAACAAAGGGTGCATGGTGATCACCATGCACCGGTTCCACAATATAAGCACTGTACACACAAACAAGCATTCGTAGGCGGATTCAAAATATACGGGTGAACTGGGTCTAAAAAAATGAAAATCGAAAATCAGATCAAAATAAATCGAACTGTAACCAAATAAAACTGAAATGCTAAAAAAACAAAACTGAATGTAAAAAACCGAACCAAACCGTAGTTGTTTGATTCAATTTTGGTGGTAACCCTTCAAAATCGAACCAAATAAACCGAACAAATTAAAAAATGATTTTTTTAATTGTTAAGCATTAATTCTAATTAATCCTAATATCATCAATAGAATTTGGTTTTCTTGTGCTAGAAAATTAATTTTGATGTTATATGTAGTTTAGTTTATTGTTAAGCATTAATGTTTCTTTAGGCTTTGGAGCCAAAAACTCAATATTTTTTGGCTTAGAATATGATGGAATAAAGCAAAATGGCTTATTAAACTGTCTGCGCTTCTTTATTATGAAGCAGCAGTCAGTCCTTACAATTTTTGTCGTAATTTTCACTATGGGTCATCCGGAAACAGTCTCTCTCTGCTTTAGTACAGGGGTAAGACTGCGTACATCCTACCCCCTCTACCCTACCGAAGGTGTGGGAGCCTTTACGGCACTGGGGTAATGATGATGATGAGGCTTTGAAAAGAGCAAAGTGGAGAGCGCACATTTGTGTGGAGGAGTGACATCAATCTCTTTTCTATCTTTCTTCTCTCTTTTCTTTTATCGTTTATCTTTATAATCTTTTTATGTTCTTATGTTAATTTTATGTTCTATCTTTATTCTACTCTTTTATCTTTCAAACATTTATCTTTCTTATATTCTTATATTATTGTCATCTTATATTTATTTTGAATGTTGTTGTATTTAATTAGTTTAGTTTATAAATGAATGTTGTTGTAGTTAATTAGTTTAATTATTACCTTTAATAATGTAGCTATATTGATCTATTATATCTTGTGTGTGGGTGTGTGGGTGGGTGGATGTGGATGTGGGGTGTGTATGTATGTATGTATGTATGTATGTATGTATGTATGTATGTATGTATGTATGTATGTATGTATGTATGGATGTATGTATGTATGTATGTATGTATGTATGTATGTATGTATGTATGTATGTATGTATGTATGTATGTATGTATGTATGTATGTATGTTGCACGATCATGATACGTTTTTAATGGTTATTACTAGTAATTAGCGTTTGTTTTTATACTTCGTAATTCGTATAACTTACAGTTTTTTATTGATAAAACAAGTAAATATTAATCCCAACTATATCACATAGATTGTATATATTCATGAAAATTTTTCAAACTAGTCATAAACAATGTAAAGTAAAAAAATATATACTTTTATCTCTTCTTTTGTTCTATTTGTTCTAGTATGCTTGCCTTTTTATGTAATATGATCCCTCCAACTATCGTATCATTTTAAATCAAATGATAATTTTTAGTAAAAAACAAAAAACGAAACCGAACCATAACAACCGTAACAAACCGAACCAATCAAATCGTGGTTTCAAGGTTTGAAATGTAAAACTGAACTGAAACTGAACCAAATTTTCTACTTTGGTTCCGTATTTGGTTTTTGTTCAAAACCGAACTAACCCCTAGTAGCTATATAACACAAGTACTTCGATCACTCAAGTACCGTATCAGCATATCGAAAACGTTCTGTATCAAATACTCTAGGATACATGTACCGTGCTTTCCTGGGCCATATCTATAATATATTAAAAGTTTCCATTTTTTGGTAATTATTTTAAAATTTCGGATACACGTGTCAACTTTTTTCGTAAAAGAACACCCAAATTCTACATAATAAAATTCTTAAAAAAAGAAAAACATAAAATATTACATTGCTTTAATCTCGCACACAACTAAGTATATGAACGACAAAAGTAAAATGTACGATGTTGGTGGAGATGATTTTGAAAGCATAGAGGATATATGAGTGCTTGAGTTAGCCAATCTTTTAATAAATGAACCATAATTTAAGGTTTTCTTTTTTGAAAGCGATGGTATCCCTAGAAATTAGTAGCTCCAGTATAAATATGTATTAGAAACTTTGATTTTTTTATTAGACTGTTGTAGAGAAAGATTACACGTGGCATGGTAGTATGACAATTGACATGTATATATATGCAGGATATGACGAAGCTGATGAATAGTGATAAATCGGGCACCGGTTGGGGCAACAAATTTGGGTTTGTGCTCTTGCCTGTATACTACTTTCGTAAGGCTTCGAATGATTCTCTTCAGTTTGTCAAGAGAGCCAAATCTATGTTTGACAAGAAAAAACTATCCTTAGAAGCCCTTTGCTCCTACAAAATTGGGGATTTTGTCATGTCATTCCTCGGTGTTAAGGTGCTCTATACATTAATTTATACATCCACATTTTTTTAGTTTTATAATATTAGAGGCACTTGCATTGGTGCATGCATGTATGAAATGTTTCAATTCTGATTCAAGTTGTTGCATATAGCTGGCGAGCATGCTCAACTATCGGATCTTATGTAACACAACGTTCCTAATTACAAATGTGATTGGCCCACAAGAGGAGATGTCCATTGCAGGCAACCCAATCACATACATAAGATCATGCACATCAAGCTTGCCTCATGTATGTGCGATATTAATTACTAGTGCAATCATGTATCGTGTACTCCCTTCATCCAGTTTAAGCTTCTCATGTGCATTTTTTAGTATTCCAACTAAAGCTAAGCTTCTCGTTTCAATTTTATGAAATAATTAGCATCCTTAAATAACAAGTTAATAATCAAATATTAAAATTAATACACATATAACATCATAGTTACCATCACTGATCTCACTAGATTATATAACAATCAAAACTATTTCTCAAAATATACTCAAATAAGCTTATTATTGTTGTCTTAATAAATGTGTCATTTTTCAACGAGAAGCTTAAATTGGGACGGATGTAGTATTTTAAAAGAACTTCCCTAAATAGTAGGAAATTATAGTAAATTTTCACGAGCATGAGTACCATTGTTTTCATTCCAAAGTAGGACTTGTGCACTCTTATTGAGGGGAACTTTTGTTCTTGTAACTAGACCAAAGAAATCATATTTTTGAAAGAAAACATGTTTAGTCATATCTTTGAACATTCCCTATGTTTTACTCCTATTTTGGCACAAGAAAAATTTCATTTTAGTTACCAAATACTTAAATTTTAATTACTAACTCCAACTTAAATATTACCCAAGAAATATTAATTTTATCTTCAATTAACCTTGTAAACTATTTTTAATCCATTTGAAATGGAGAGAGTACTAAAATGAAAGTATGATGTATATCGTGATGTTGAGGTTATTTGGAGAGAGGTATTAATAATGTAGCATCATCCTTGCAGGCGATCGCAATATATATGGTCAGCTATGATGGTAAGGCATACCTGCAAATTTTGGTTGCCAAAGACATCATCCCTGACCCCAAGGTTCTAGCCAGATGTTTTGAAGATGCTTTGATGGAAATGAAAAAACAAGTTGAGATGAACAATGCAAACCACATCGATCCATGCGAATAAATAACATTGAAGATGTCATCGACCATCATCTAAATCCATTAGACCACCGCACGCAGTTAGCATAGTAAATATACTATTATTAATACAATAATGTTAATTTATGATCTATTGTAATACTTCGAAAAAAATGTACCCGTGGAAATATATTGAGGCAAATTATCGAGCTCGATCAGTCAACTTGGAAGAGTCTTATGTACGCGGTCCATATCGAGCTCAATCAGTCAGCTTGAAATTCCAAATTAGGAGTATTATTATGTTTTTATTCAATAACTATGAGTAATTCCTAGTGATGAACCAATTGAATCACACAAGAAGGGAGTTAATTGTATGTGGACAACTATCGAACTCAGACTGTTTTTCGCAAAGTCCTTGAGCGGGACAAAGGAAAAAAAGAATGACCTTTTCCCATGAATATTACTAAATTAAATTCAAAAGACATAAATATGACTTACTTTAAATTTTTCCAAAAAGTGACATATTCAGTAATTAGTTTCCAGTTACTCATCATCTACAAGTGACTTGTCACTTTGAAATACAATATAGTAACTCTTTTCCAGTTACCCGTACACAGTGAATGGTCATATTTTTGTTTAAAACACAATAAATTATATTTTTGTCTAGTGAATCTTTGTTAGTAATATATGTTAGTCCCCTAGATTTTGATGTACCATTCTTTTGATGATGCCAAAAGCTCCTCTAATGTTGCCCCCCTTCTTTTGTAGCATTAGGAAATTAAAATGATGTATTTTGCTTCAACCTAGTGCCAGTGAAAGTTTATCCAAAAAGTGTCTCATCCGAACTATCAAATTAACAAATAAATATAACTGGAAAATCATAAAATGCAATAAGGTAATATTCTATTATCTTAAAAAGGATGTCTCATAAATCCAACCAGTTAAATTTATTTGTAACATCAAACATTTCGAACAAATAAACTATTTATTAGAACTGGAATACAAAATGCAATAAGGTAATATTTTTTACCTTAATAGGATTTGTTATCCTACCAGTTAAATACTTGGTTTACGTTCGGAATAAGGGATGGGTTATACACAACCAAGAGTGACCAAAAGTAAAAAGAAAAAATATTTGTATTAAGTAAATTATACCGGCAAAGTGAAAATGCAATAAGGTAATTCTTACCTTAAAAAGGATATTTAAATCCTACCGGTATATATTTACTTTATCACAAACTAAATTCGTCACAAAAAAAAAAAAAAAAAAAAAAAGAAGGGAAAAGACACTTAGTGGGCATTAGAAGTTGACTTATCTTGAAGTGACACATAAATGTACAAATTGGTGATACAAATAAAATATTACCGGGAAAGGTAAAAATGCAATAAGGTAATTTTATTTACCTTAATAGGATATTTATATCCTACCGGTATATTTTATCTGTACACTAATTCTCTTGGTCACAATAAGAGAAAGGCCCGAAAAATAATACACTAAATGTGTATGATTGGAAGACAAAACTTGACCGGTATTTAATACCGAATCAAGTACTGAGGGGCCGCGGCATGGGACGAAAAATGAAACTGTGGAGAGAAAAACTTCAGCGGGTGAATTATTCAAAGACAAATGCATCAGCCCGAAATAAATGCTCCAGCACAAAAAGACGAATGTACAATTCGTCCTCGCCAGAAGTTCAACGGTAGAGATCAACTTATCCTAACCAACGGATAAGATTGATCAGCCAAAAAGCCTATAAATAGAGGCTGAAACGAAAGTTTCTAACCAAGCCTGAGCATCCTAAGCAGAGAGATATTTCACTGAGCAAGAAGTGCTATTCTATCCACGACTCTCTGCTTAGTCTCTTGCTTCACCAAACTTCTCAGCATCAAGTCTTCATTACCAAAATCATAGAAGTTTAGTTCCTAGTTGGAGGTTAGAACTTTCTTGTAATCACTACCACAAATTGTAGTAAACACTTCAGGAGGACAGTTGGTCCCGGCCTGAGTGTGGTTAGATAGGTTAGGAGTACCTTTTGATCCACACTGGATCAATTGAGAAAAACCTAAAGGATTGAGTAGCTTGGAGTGGTGTTGTACTCCTCGTGAAACACCTTCAATCTAGGCCAGAGTTGTCAAGGCTAGATTGACACTAAGTGTATTAGGCTTAATACATTAGTGAAATCCATTTGAAATAGGATGGGACTGGATGTAGGAGGATTACACCACCTCTGAACCAGGATATATCGTGTGTTGATTTCCTTAGTCAACAAAGCACACACCCAACACTTCTCGTATAAGAAATTGTAGTTTGCCAGCAGTATTTTAAGTAGTTGTCTTAACTGACTCAACTGCTTATCCTACTGCTCAATCATTCACTTTTTCTCGAGATAACCTTTTCACAAGAGCTTCGCAACATCACTGTCTAAAGGTACACTTTGCCAGAAATCACTTCTCTTACTGAACCAGCTGGCTCAGCAGTTCCCTGATTTCACTCAACTGCTGAGACCTCTGCTCAGACAAAACACCTTAAAATTCTCAAGCTCAATATCCAATCAGGAAGCCCTCATCACACTACACAAGGTCACATAATCACCCAAAAGAGTCGCTCTTTCAGATTCCAGGAATTCACTCTTCAAGTATAGCAGAGACCTCGACAGTGCCCTGGTGACCACCCAACTGCTGAGCCCTCTGCTCATACAAACTTACCTCCTGTGAACATCTCAAGTATCATCACAGACTCATAACCTCTCTAGCAAGGAAGACAGTCTGAACCAGGCTACAAATTCCAGTTTATAATTCAAGCAGGTGACTCAGCAGTTCACTCAGTACCACCCAACTGTTGAGACCACTGCTGAAATACAACTGTAGCTTCCTCTCAACAAAAGGATAGTATCCCACTACCTTCATCATCCTAAACAACATTCCATCATCATTTTTGTCATACAGTCTGTATTTGACTAGCAGTTGCCTCAGCAGTTCTCTTCTAGCTAGTCAACTGCTAAGCCAACTGCCAGCTATCTGAGTCCAATCTTCCCAGATCAGAAAGTGATTGAAACATTCACTATATAAAGGGTAAAGAATTCCGCTGTGCATCTATTAATCTCCCAAAAGATTATAGATCAACTCCTCTAAGAGGGAAATATTAGTAAGGGTCGAAAAGATTTAAAAGTCTATTCACCCCCCCCTCTAGACTTTTACCCTATCCGGGACCATCAAGTGGTATCAGAGCAGAGTGTTCTTAGAGTCAGTTTCTGGCTAATTTGAACTAAAGATCCAAACCACTAAACCCCCCAAACACTTTCTAAATGGACAAACGGTTGGCAACAGATTCTTTGCCTAACCAAAATATGTATGATGACTGGAGAACCAAGGATTTCTGGGATGAGCTCTCAATGATTCAATCAGTTGATGATCAAAAAGGCTCAAGTGATGAAAGCAGTACTTCAGGAGATGAAGAAGAGACTCTGTTTTGTCTCTATGGAATGCATCATGTTGAAAACTTCTCCAATAACTGCTCTATGGCCGAAACCTCAAGCAATGATAATGATGAGGTATTATCTAGTTCTTCAAACAGCTCATTTCACTCTAGCTGTTCCCGTGTTGACATGGAAGCTCTACTCCTTCAATTTGAAAACTTTCAAAAGGATCACCTTCTTTTAATGAACGAAAACTGTAGACTTCAAGTTAATCTAATAGTAGCCCAAGCTCAAATGGGTGAAGTGATAAAGAGAAATGATTTTCTTGAACTCGAAAACTTCAGTTTAAAAGAAAGGTTGAGCTCCCTCACTACCCCTATAAGTGAGGAAATTCATCACAACTGGAAGAACACAGGATTGGGATTCACACCCTTATCCAAGCCATCTGAAGACTCTCCCAAATACTCTCCTATCACAAAGCCCAACACAGATCTACTAGACACAAGGGATTCAAACCACCAACAACCTCACTCCCAAACTCTGTCAAAGAAAAGGACTCAGTCCTCCTCCAGACCAAAATCCAAACTTCCCTACAATTTCAACCTCCTGAATAACCAACCAAATCAAAGACTTGGTTGGCAACCAATCAAAAGGACCAACAACTTATCTCAGAAAAAGCTGATCACTTCTAATGCTCATATTCCTTCACCCCCTCAAACAAGGAATAATGATCACAAACATATAGCCCTTTCTCATGGAAACATAAATCCAAATGGCTACAGACCCGTCAGCTCAAACTCAAATGGCCCTAAATTGGTATGGATGCCCAAACGCATTCAAGGGAAGATGCCCACAAATTTGTGGGCTGTTACTCAAAACCGATGAGAACGGGAAGGTGCTGGAGTAGCTAACATTGAAAAGATTCATCTTCAAAACTGCTCCATGCACATGATAGTTAGCAGGGGGCTACTATCAAGCTATGAGATCTGGAAGAAGGACCCAATTTAACAAATTGGGAATGGGAAGAAAAAGGAGAAACAAAAGGAACTGGAAAATCCAAACCAAATGCGAACTTTCAATCCAACCTAGGATTGAAGTTCAAATTCAAGAAGCACAAGCCAGCTCCAAGATAATGTTCACAATATGACATTCTCCATGGACATCTGCTTAGATGCCCAAAACAAAGTTGTGCTAACTGGTAAAGGAATAAGAAGAAACATGGTACTGATTGGAGTTTACCAAAGAAGAAATCTGCTCTCCAAAAGCAGGTTCATGCATGAGTTGAAAATGGCACCACATCATAGCCATCTCAAGCTCAAAAACCATCAAATGGTACCTTCAGATAGTATCATCAAGTGATATCTCCATCTCAATTACAGAACTCAATAAGTAATTGAGCAAACCATGCAAGGGATTTTTCTTGAAGAACACTGGAAAGGCTCCAAGCTGCCCTTCCAGAAAAGAAACTAAAAGACTACTGAACTCTGGAATCAGCAGTTGACTCAAGTAAGCAGACCACTGCGAGCAGAGGACTACAATGGGAGATCACTGCCAGCAGTTGCCTCATTCTAAATCAACTGTCCAGACGCTTCAGCTAAACTAAGTACAAAGGCTTAAAAGATCCCAATCTTCATTCTACCAGATGATAAAGGAGGATGAGCAGGTATCTCAAATAAACCACATTGGTCGAACCTACATCCTCCTTAGAAAAATATTGATAACTGAAGAAGCCCTACCGAACTCTGACCGCACACAAGCTATGAAAGAAGCACTCAAAGAACATTTCCTGAAAGCTTGTGTCCAGATCCTATCATCATCAAGTGATAGGAACAAAAAGGGTCTCCAAAAATTGAAGGAAGACATCATTATTGAGGATAAAGCAAGACTTGTGGCAAAAGGGTACTACAGAGAAGGACTAGATTTTGATAAAACCCCTGCCCAAAGTTGCCCCAGTAAC